ACATGGGGTCATCTGGACAGTGAGATATGGGCACACAAGGGGTAAGAGAAAGGCAGCCAGACAGGACAAGTTAGGAAAGAACACTTACTTACTTGTTACATGTACAGTCAGTTTCCAGGATGCAAACCAATGGTAAAACCCTCCAGTATTTAAACCCATGCATCAGACTCTAAACCACTGAGGCCATAAAACATATTGCTTTGTAGCCCTGTTACTCTGCATGATGCTGAGCACCAACCAGCATCTTGATGAATTTGCTGACACATTGAATGGGGACTCTGCCTTTCTCCTTGCAGGAAACTCTCCCTGGAGCCCGTTCCTTTTGGTCTGTGGAATTGTCCCCTAGGACCCAATAGCACACATCAGTACCTAGGATGTTCATAAAGTACTTTTGATGATATTAAAGCCGAAGCCTTGAGCTGTATTTCATACCCCAAGACTCTGACTCAACATTTCATCTTCAATTGCTTGATGGAGTACATTCTAATTTTTAGAAAACCGTTCAATTTTCCTATATACCACAAGATGAATAGGAATATCTCCTGCAAGGGAGGCCCTAAGTGGGAACTGCAGTGAGTCCTGGAGTCACTCAATACGATACAATGGAAATAAAAGTCATCTCCTTCTGTTGTTCCATTTCTCCTTTTGCATGAGCAAATGGGAAGGGAATCATCTTTAGGGCATTATGTATTCATTGAGGGGCTGTGACCTTAATCCATAAAGCTCTATACAGTTTATGCTTTGATTACCTTAAAGCCTGCCTCCCGCTATACTTGTCCCAGACAATCAAAATCGCCTCACAATGTGCCTGCTAAAGTTCAGTTGCAGTGGGCCCAAGACCAAGCCATCTGGCAAATAGCGTTTGGCACAGGGCTTCTCTCCTTAAGGTGATCTGACTGTCCCACATCGTTTGCCTGGAAATCTCCCTTCTTGCCATAATGCTCGGCCGGTTTTCAAAACTCATATTATTGGATAGTATAGTAATTAACAAAAGTAAACTGTAATAATTAATCCGATGAAACAAAGTCTTCATGAGGAAGTTACACGTGCTTCTAAATGATGAAGATGAAATTTATAAGTTTTTTGTTATTGTAAGTTAGTGAAAAAAGTATAAATTTAACTGGGGGTAGAAAGGAAAGAACAAATATTTTTGGAGACCCTACTACATGTCAGAAAGTTGATGTGTTTTCTTACCTGACTCACAACTCTATGATGCAGATCTCATTATTCTTATTTTACAAATGAAGAAACTGGGGAAAGGTTAAGTAACACCTCTAAAGGCACATGAATAGTAAGTAATAACCTCGAAATTCAAATCTAAGTGTGCAGCCTCCAGATATTAGGTCTTTACAGTTTGTGACCTAAATAATCTTTTTCTGAACTGTTTTTCTTTACAGCTGTAACTCATTTCTTCTTTACCTTGCCATTTTATATCATCTGCCATCTTTTCATATTTCTTCATCATTTATCCTTGAGCATCTCTTTAGTTACCCTTTAAAATAACTATATTTCTAATTTCCTTTCTGGTCTCTAACAGCTTAAGCCATTGGTATCTTTTCTTTACCAGTTTATTAACCCCCTAAATGGCCTCATATTTATTCTCTTTGTTCTCTACCCATGATCATTGTTGAGGAAATAAATTGCTCAAAATCCTACAATAGGCTTACATCACAACTTAAAGTAAAATTCTCTCTTTTGGTGGCCAAGAAGGTCCTTTGTGATCTGTGCCCTCACTTTTCTCTCTCCTCTTGTCCCTGCCACTGCCCTGCAAGTTCAGCTCACTCCAGCCACACTGGTCCTCCTGCAGGATCTTGCAGGCCAAGCTCATTCCTACTTTTGCACTTGCTTCTCCGCTGTCTCCCCTCTGATCTTTTCTTGGTTCACTCTTTTACTACATTCAGAGCTCTGATCACCATTCCCTCTTAAGAGAGAACTCCCTTGATTCTCTATTTCTCAAATAGCTGTCAGCTAGTCCCACTCTAATCCCTTACCCCGTTTCACTCTTCTTCATAGAACTTATGACAAACTACCTGAGACTGTAGTAGTCTTAACATCAACTTAGTCTCTTTTTGTCTGTCTCCTGTCACTAAAATATAGGCTCCATGTAGAGGGGGATATTTTCTGTCTTGTCTGTCCTGTGTCTCAGGGTCTAGAACAGTGCCTGGTTGGAGTAGGCACTCTGGAGACACTTGTCGAATGAATGAAGATATACTTTCACAAATGCTTCAGTAGTATTCAAAGTGATCTTAGCAAATTGCCCTTTTGGCCTTTGAATTACTCCTTCTCTTTTGTTTGTTACATTCTTTAGTTATATTCTTACTCTAGCAATTGATTACATACTGCCTTATGATATATTTTATATTAGATGACTTTTATACAATATTACTATTGTGTATTTCTTTTTTTTATCTCCTTGGCAAGGACCACAGCAACTTAAGCATGACCTGTACTACTCTTGGTATTTCCCATAGCAATGCAGTTTATATGATACCCCATAGCAGAAATCTACAGCCACTTTTATATTTGATGATGAAGCTAATAACATATTATTAAATACCTACTATGTGCAACACAGTATTGTAAGTCCTGTTTTCATATTATTTCTTTTATCCTTTTGAGGATAAAGTAGGAATTCTCATTCTCATTTTGTGGTTAAGAAAACTGGTTGTGCAAGAAGTGACTTGCTTAATTAGGGCTGTATACATAAGAAAAGGTAAAAGGCTACAGTAATCAAAACAGCATGGTACTGGTACCAAAACAGAGATACAGACCAATGAAACAGAACAGAGGTCTCGGAGACAACACAACATATCTATAACCATCTGATCTTTGACAAACCTGACAAAAACAAGCAATGGGGAAAGGATTCCCTGTTCAATAAATGGTGTTGGGAAAGCTGGCTAGCCATGTGCAGAAAGCAGAAACTGGACCCCTTCCTGACACCTTACACTAAAATTAACTCCAGATGGATTAAAGACTTAAACATAAGACCTAACACCATAAAAACCCTAGAAAAAAATCTAGGCAAAACCATTCAGGACATAGGTGTAGGCAAGGACTTCATGACCAAAACACCAAAAGCATTGACAACAAAAGCCAAAATAGGCAAATAGGACCTAATCAAACTCCACAGCTTCTGCACAGCAAAAGAAACAGTCATTAGAGTGAATTGGCAACCAACAGAATGGGAAAAAATTTTTGCAGTTTACCCATCTGACAAAGGGCTGATATCCAGAATTTACAAAGAACTAAAACAGATTTACAAGGAAAAAACTAACAAGCCCATTCAAAAGTGGGCATAGGATATGAACAGACGCTTTACAAAAGAAGACATACATGAGGCCAACAAACATATGAAAAAATGCTCATCATCACTGGTCATCAGAGAAATGCAAATCAAAACAACATTGAGATACCATCTCACGCCAGTTAGAATGGCGATCATTAAAAAATCTGGAGACAACAGATGCTGGAGAGGATGTGGAGAAACAGGAACACTTTTACACTGTTGGTAGGAGTGTAAATTAGTTCAACCATTGTGGAAGACAGTGTGGCAATTCCTCAAGGACCTAGAAATAGAAATTCCATTTAACCCAGCAATCCCATTACTGGGTATATATACAAAGGGTTACCAATCATTCTACTATAAGGACACGTGCACACGAATGTTCATTGCAGCACTATTTACAATAGCAAAGACCTGGAACCAACCCAAATACCCATTGACGATAGACTGGATAGGGAAAGTGTGGCACATATACACCATGGAATATTATGCAGCCATCAAAAACGATGAGTTTGGGTCCTTTGTAGGGACATGGATGAACCTGGAAACCATCATTCTCAGCAAACTGACAGAAGAGCAGAAGATCAAACACCACATGTTCTCACTCATAGGCGGGTGTTGAACAATGAGAACAGATGGACACAGGGAGGGGAGCACTACACACTGGGGTCAGTTGGGGGGAAATAGGGGAGGGAGATGGGAAGAGATAGCTAGGGGAGAAATGCCAGATATACTCACTGCCACGTGTGTACCTATGCAGCAATTTTGCATGTTCTTCACATGTACCCCAAAACCTAAAATGCAATAAAATAAATAAATGGGGGGGGGAAAAAGAAAAGGTAAAATGGGTCTTAAACCTATATTCTGGCTGGAAAACAAGTGTTCTTTCTGCTAGAGACCATAGGTAGCTTTGCCATACATCTCCGTTAACATATACACTTATTTATAAAGCTCAAAGACTCCCAAACCACACTGAGCTGACTTGTATACTGTGGGAGAACATGCTTTGTGGAGTATGTTGCTTTTGACCATTATGTCCTGTGCTTGGTGTAAAGAAGGACTGGAAAGGGAGCTGACTGCGCTCAGAAGGCACTTAAAAATGCAGAGCAAGGGGTCACAAAGAGTAGAGAATGATTTTCATTCCATTTTCATTGTATGTCTTCCTCATTACTTGAGACCAAAGACACACTATGTTGCTTTCCTTCTCCTCATGACCATTGTCCCTGGTCAAGCCTGAAACCTGGGAAAGTGTAGCTCTGATTAGAATTGAAAAACTCAAGGTGGAGCCTAAGAAGAAAGAGAATCAATCACTAATTAACCACATTTCAAGTCTCCACTGTCATCCAAACCATGCTATATCCTTGATTTCTTTGCAAGCATGACGTCATATAGGCAACCAAGGATGCAGAACCCATGCTTAAAAGGCATATAAGGCAGAAAGCACACACAACACACAGTATTTTGTGACTTGGTGAAGCTTGTTTTATGAGAATTTTACATTTGCTGTACTTTCTTATTCAAGCTGATTTTTCTCTTTCTTTTTATTTTTTAGAGACAGGCTGTCACTCTGTCACCCAGGCTGGAGTGCGGTGGTATGATCACAGCTCACTCTAGCCTTGAACCCCTTGAGCTAAAGAGATCCTCCTGCCTCAGCCTCCAGAGTAGCTGGGACTACAGGTACACCACCATGCTTAGCTAATTTGTGTGTGTGTGTGTGTGTGTGTGTGTGTGTAGATGGGGTCTTGCTATGTTGTCCAGGCTGATCTTGACATTCTGGCCTCAGTGGCTTATCTGAATGCCATTATAAATCAGTGGCTCTCAAGTTTCATGTATTTAAGAATCACCAAGGTATTCTATATGAAAAAGCAGACTCTAGGGTCCTCATTGCCTTAGGTAGACTCTGAGAACCTGAGTCTTAAGTACTCCAGGTGGTGCTTATAACACATGACTCATGGAGAAATATCAGTCTAAATAACCTTTTCTCCCTCAGATCTTTTAACTCTGGAATTGTGTTTTAAACCTATGAATAATATATTGTTTCTCACATGAGCACAGAGGACAATTGAATATGCTATTGTGTTAATATTAAATCCAATATCAAATCCAAAACAATAATCAGCCAAGAGATTCCTTTTGCAATGGTTTATTCAAGTCTTTTTTTTTTTTTAAGCCTTCTAGGGCTTTTAATGCACAGTCAATCTTTTAAATTAGACATCAGCCAAGTGTTAGCTCACAATCTATATTGCTAAGTACTAAAAGCTGGTCCAGCATTCTGGCAAGAAAGATGAGCTGTGAAGAGTGAGGCTTGACAACCAAAATGGTGTGAAGTGCTTAGATCACCTTAGGGGGAATCTTGGCACTAATGCTGATCTCTATTTCCCAGAAGGTTCCTTTGGTGTCACATAGTGGGGAAACCATTAGCAGACATACTGCGAGAAGATTTTGATTGCTGCAATGCATACATGCTGCATTTTCTGGGGATTTCTTTTTACTGCTTTAATTACACTAAATTATCTAAATAATTACTGAGGAACTATGAGAAAGTATATTAGACTCAAGAAAAGGATACATATCACGGTCCTTGCTCAATATACTTCATAAGGGCTAGATAGAAGTAGACTGGTATGATAGTAATTATGATGGAATGTGAAAGGCACAAAACAAGCGTATGAACAAAGTGCTTAGAGCACAGAGGTTGTGAGGAGCACAGGATGATATTTGAGCTAAGCCTTACTGTATAAGTAGCCTTTCACCAGGCAGAGAAAGGAGCAAAGGCCTTTCTGCAGAGAGGTGCCATCTTAGGATAAAACAATAATAACAACTGACATTTATTGAGAACGTGTTTGCTAGGCATTGTTATAAGCACCTGTTATGTTTTATCTCATTTAATTCTCTAAAAAACTCTGTGTCATGGGTGCTGTTATAATCCTCAGTATATACATGAAGAAACCCAGCCACGTTCACATGTGTGGAATACTCTTGGGTAGCACGAGCAGGTCAGGCAATGGCAAATGGTGTGATGTGACCTTGAGTCAACATCAGAGGTCAAAGGTAGGTGGGATCAAAGGTAGGTGGGATCAGGTGGTGAAGTGCCCTCATCACTTACCCAGGTTGATAAGTGCTTTCATTACATGGAAGGCTTTGCTTTTGTTCTTTAAATTAATATTTCTTATTACAAAAGTAACACCTATGTATGATTTTAAAATCTCCAAAGAGCATACAACAAAAAAGCCCTGACAGATATTCAGTTCTGTAACTTCCCTCCCAGGAAACAACCACGATCGTTAACTGCTGATGTATCTTTGTGTAAATAGTGTACGTATAAGCATCTCCTTTGTTTATCCTTTGTTGCATGCAAAGGAAGATACTATACAAATCTTGCTTTGTATCTTGAGATTGGTCCATATCAGCACATTTAGAGCTATCTTATTCTTTTCCCCAGCTCCATGTTTTCAAATTATGTAGTTGAACCATGGCTTATTTAACAGTTAACTAATGAGACATTAAATATGCTGCAGTCAATAAACAATGCTGATTTGAAGATTTTTGTCTTCAAACATGGAGCTATTATTTGCAGGACATTGTTCTCAAAGAGGAATTTTTGTGCTTCTAGAAAATAATATAAAGAGAGGAAAAGCATGAACAAGGTGGCCTTTTAGAGCTATCAATCTGGCAGCTGTGTGAAGGATGGAATGGAGGGTGGAGCAATTAGAAGCAAGAGACTGGTCAAGAGTCTCTTGATTTCTTCCTCTGTCTTCTGCTCCCAGTGAGCATTGCTGAAAGTACCGCTAAAAGTACCAGCAATGCTCACTGGGAGCAGAATACAGATGAAAAGAGTTTACGAATGGAATCAACTGAGGAAGGGTTTGCACAGCCTTTCTGGCTGCTCTTGTTTCTTCTCCCATGCCTTTCTGTTTTCACTGTGCCGGTTTTGGGAGACACCTAGAGCCTATGATCAGAAAGGATGTGTGCTGACATCATCACCACCTTTGTCTTTCAGGGTAAGAATATGTTTTTAATATTTTGAAATTAGTAACCACAGAAAAGTTAAGGAACCACATAAGCAGTGGGAATATATGCAGAAAAAAAAACCCTTTTTTTCTTAAAAAAACAGTTCCCAAAGTGAGCATTGATTTATATTAATGGTCAGGTGTGCGCCCAATTCTACCAGGTGTTAGTGTGGATGAAGCTGCATATATACATACATATACGTATCTTTTATTGCCGTCTCCTTTTTTTCTCATACCAATAAAAGCAAACTTGTTATCCTTTCCATTCTAGGGTAACTACAGTACCCTCATTAAGCCCCATGATTTCTTTCATTCATTGTCTAGTCATAATCTTAATTACCCCTGCTTAAAAAAGCTTAACCTACTTAAAGAAGAAATAACAAACTAATCCTAGTTTGACAACACATGTGCGTTGCATCTGGCATTAGGAGCAACAGGGTGTATGAAGCATCTATCACTGCACGGCCTCTGAAGGGAAATGGCAGAGAGGAGGAGAAGGCTCATAGTTGCTGTCTTCTTTTCTCTCCTCTTCATGCATTAAGGCAGCTTTGGGAATAGCTCTACTCACTCCAAGCCTGGGCTCCAGAGAACTCCACAGCCCATAGGCCCTGGGGCCACCCAGTCTTATATAATACAGAAATGAAGCAAAACTCCTCCCAGTGTGGTTGCAGGTCAATTAGAATTTGAGAAATATAAAACTGAAAGCCAGAGAGTACCGGCTGCCAGTCACACAATGTGCCCTTCTGCCAGGGCATGCCTGCCCCCAATGATATGTGTGCCAATGTTTATTCTTTCTGGTAAAAAAAAAAAAATGCCCAAGTGGGGCAGCTCCCGCTGCTTTGGCTCAGAGGGAAACCCAGTGCCATTACACGCCTGCACTGCACATCCAGAAGGCAGGTTTTTATGATGGCATGGCAAGACAGTAGTTGCTGCTCATTCAGGGAGAAAAAAGTGGATTCTGCAGCTTGGCAGTCTTTTAGGCAAATGGTGTTTGCAATATGCCCAGGGCCTCTTCATGCTTCCATTTTAATTACTACTGTTCTGCTTTCCTGGAGGAATAAGAAAGGAAAAGGAGAGTTGAAATGGGAATCTTTCAGGTGGTGGGCCATATTTGTGTGTTTTTAGTGAAACTGACTTTATTCAACCCATTTCTTCTTATTCCTCAGTACACCAAAATGCAGAGCAAGTGAAGGAGCAGAGAAATGGGAGAGGTGAGAAGGGGACGATGAGGTAGGTTCTCAAATCACTTTTTGCTTTCATGCCTGCAACATTTCTCTGAGGCAGAACTTTCCAAATAAAGTGGATTTTAGATGTGCCAAAATACTGACCTTTCAGCTCACAGGTGGCAGGGCAGGGTCAAAAGGGGCCTCAAGGTGCCTTTTGTGTGTGGCCCAAGTCACCTTCAAATGTAATGCTTTTCTGTGTATACCAAGATATACAACTTTTGGAGGCAATAAAAAAATACTGTCTTAGAATTCAAGAGTCCCAAATTTTTGGATAAAAACTTCTAGTTTTCTAGGATGTGTGTGCATATATGTATCTACGTATATATGTGTGTGGTCATGTGTCTATATAGAGTTAATCTAGCATAGCAGCTAATAGTATATACTTTTGGAGTCCTGCAGATTTGGTTTGAGACTCAGTTTTGTGCATAGCGTATATATGTGTATATTTTGTGCATATATGTGTATCTACATATATATGTATGTGGTTGTGTTAGTCTAGCATGGCAGCTGGACTATATAGAGTTATATGCCAAAGTATATAGCTAGTATATACTTTGGAGTCTGGCAGATTTGGCTTGAGACTCAGTTTTACCACTTTCTCACTATGTGACCTTGAGCAGGTTACTTAATGCCTCTGAACCTTAGTTTCCTGGGGCATAAATACCCACTTTTCAGATCAGTGACCTTGGGAAAGTCACTTAACTCTTTGTTCTTCAGTTTCTCATCTGTAAAATAGGATAATAGTACCTACTTCATGGTTTTGCAGTAAGGATTAATATGTTAACTCATATATTGATATATGAGTTAACCTGCCTGTCTGTTGATCATTTAGAACATTGCTTGTACACGGTAAACTATAAAAGTGTGAATTATCATCATCATCCTGTAAAGCACTGAGCACAGGGTCATATACATGATCACTGTCATCACAGGCAATATTATTATTTTTTTTCCCATTTTATTTTATTGCATTTTAGGTTTTGGGGTACATGTGAAGAACATGCAAAATTGTTGCATAGGTACACACGTGGCAGTGTGATTTGCTGCCTTCCTCCCCATCACCTGCATCAGGCATTTCTCCCCTTGCTATCTCTCCCCAGATCCCCACCCCCCACCGTCCCTCCCCTATTTCCCCCCAACTGACCCCAGTGTGTAGTGCTCCCCTCCCTGTGTCCATGTGTTAGCTGTGGGGAAGAGAAGTGTTTTTGTTACCGCCACGGAAAACCAAAATGTGTGGAGCTCTGGCAATGTGGTAGCAACTGCTGAGAAGACAGGAGATAAGACTGTCATCTGGATGAGTCTAAAACACACAATATAGACCATCCAGCAGCATGGGTGGGGGCATGCTCCCCTCTTGTTTGGCTTCTTGTTTGGTCAGGAGTTTCTCCTCTTCACCCTTGTCTTCTCAGCCTCCCTTCATCATATTCCTGTTTTTGTTAATGCACTTATCTACCACTTCTGCCAAAAAGAAAAATGGGAATATTTGTGTTCTTTGGAGCTTCTGCCAAGGAAGCCATGGCCCTGGGGCTTCCTGGCATCCCTGCAGCTGCTCTCCACATTGGCAGCTGAAGGAAGCCACACTCACGGGGAGGTGTGTGAGGAGTCAGCAAACACCAAGCTGGACCGAAGCATTATTAGAAACAGAGGAATTACTAACAAGATGAGTTTTCCAATGTAAAAAAATCAAGATCAGGGAAAGTAAAGCAATCAAGATCAGGTTCAGGTGGGTACCCTGTGGGTACACGGGCCCTGGGGTAGATATATGGTGGTGGAGAGTATGGCAAAATGCCCCTCTATGGGCTTCTCTTTGCTATTCATCATCCCATAGCAAAGGCCCATCTGCCCCATTTCTAGGAATAGAGTGAAGCCACTCCCAAGAAAGAAATAATGTAGGAATCACCACCCCTCTTTCCCCTTATACAATAGCATGACTGGCAAATAGCTGGGAAGGAGGACACAAGTCAGAGCTTGAACACTCACCCAGAGGCCAGTCCAAAGCTCCCATTACAGCAGCCTTGCACAGGGGCAAGGATGGCTAAGTTGGAGTCAGATAGACCTTAGTTGAAATTCCAGTTCTTTGGCTGGGTGCAGTGGCTCACGCCTGTAATCCCAGCACTTTGGGAGGCCAAGGTGGGTGGGTCACAAGGTCAGGGGTTGGAGACCAGCCTGGCCAAAATGGTGAAGCCTCGTCTCTACTAAAAGTATAAAAATTAGCCGGGCATGATGGCAGGCACCTGTAATCTCAGCTACTTGGTAGGCTGGGACAGGAGAACCACTTGACCTGGGAGGCGGAGGTTGCAGTGAGCCAAGATCATGCCACTGCATTCTAGCCTGGGCAGCAGAGCAAGACCCTGTCTCGAAAGAAAGGAAGGAAGGAAGGGAGGGAGGGAGGGAAAGAAAGAAGGAAGGAATTCCAGCTCTTCTTTTGTTTTTTTTGTTTTTTTTTTGTTTTTTGGCAACTAAATTATTACGCTCAAGCTATTAACCTCCCTGCTTCTGGAGGCTGTCATCTGATGAGATAAGAGTTAAAAGGGATTGCATACATGGTATTGTGCCTCAGTTAATAGATGGGAAAAACTTGCCACAGTGGGGCACGGCACATGCTTAGTCAATGATAGCTACCCTTGTTATTATAAACGTGAAAGTCACCCACATACTGCTATTCAGTGTGTCCCACTGCCACTGCTAAGACTAAACCATTCATTTTTCACTTTTATTTGTTGGCAGCAGCCTGCTGGCCTTTCTTGACGTTATTCACTTTTAACGCTGCAAACATTTCACTTCTAATCTAGATTTTGCTTGTATGCAAGTGCTTGCTTTTTTAAAATACATGTTTCCTGAACTCTGAGCTCTCCTTGAGCCATCCTCCCTCATCAGGAGTAAGGCTGGCAAAGAAATCACAGTCCCAGATCCTTGTCTCCCAGAGATCTCAGATCCTGCCAAAGTCTTTTCCTGTCATATTCAATCTGATTGAGGAATCTTATAAACTGCAGATACATTCATTGGCCACTTGCTTGGGGCAGGAAAGAGGAACTGATCTCTCTGCATGGAATGACCTCTGGGAGGGAAGGTAAAATGGAGGCTAGGTTATACAACAGGAAAAAGCACATGACATCTTGCTGTCGATAGGCTCCTATTGGCAGTTTATTTTGGTTTCTGGTTTTGAAACTGCTGTGCAAAGTCGGCTGCTGGAAGTTTTTGTTGCTGCAGGAGAATTATAAACCCAACCAGGTTTCCCTCAAGCTTCTCCTCTGGGATAGTTTTGAAGAAAAAAAAAGGGAGAAAATGTTTTTGGTACCTTCTCCCTCCAGAGCTATGGTAGCTTCCTCAACGATCATTCTGGATAGAGCTCTGATGCAGGATTCCATAAGAAAACAGAAATGAAGATACAAAAATAATCTTTGTGGGTCAGCAGAGGGATGACACTGGATGCTATGAACTGAATGCTGGCTCAACGGAACTGAAGCTGTGATATGTGTCTATAATCACCTCCTTGATGATAGACATGGGATCTTCTCTGGTCAGAATGAGAAAAATGTAGTTTATCCTCTTAAAAACAGTGTGAAGAAGGCATCAGGATACCTGAAGAATGACTCTGCAATCAAGGATCCTAAGCCTTAAAAAGCTGGCAGACATCTTTGGTAGAAAATTTTCCTAGCTTCAAAAAGAAATAAAGAGGAAGAGTTTTAACTCTAGGTAAGGACTCAGTTTTGAAGCTGATTGAATGAATGTCTGGGTAACACCCTTAAGTCTGTGTGTTTCTGATACCTCTCTCATTTGCTCCTGAACAGTTTCAAGCGATGTTATCTGGGAGTATATTAAAATGGCTCAGGATATAATTGTACCTGTCTTTTTGGTCCCCCTTGAGTGATTCTCCATCTATCTCTTCCTATATCTAAAGGATTCTTGTCCCTACATTCAATTCCTGGAATTATCTGGTGGTTAAGAAGTCTATAAAGTTCACTGTGCTCTAGACGTATCTAGTTAAAGAATCATGTTTGCTGGGTCGCGGAGCTGCACTAAGGGTTTCATCGCCTGACTCAAAGGCATAAAATAATGCAAGCAAAAACATTAAAGAATTCTATCCTTCCAGAGACAATTTCTATTCAATGCAAGCATCTTTACTTTGATGGCTAAGCTTAGGACAGTCTACGTTTTTTCTCTTGTCCCTCCTGGTATCAGGAGAATCATTCATTAATTCAACAAGTGTTAATTGAGCACCTACTCTGTGCTGGGAACTCTTCCATGTGCTGAGGATATAGTAGTAAAAAACCAAATCTATGCTCTCATGGAATTAAATTATACTGTCAGGCAGTAGATCAATAGCCCAGTGAATTTATTGTATAGTGCCAGTGAAATAAGTGATATGAAGAAAAGTAAAACAGGCTATCTAGTAGAAGACTTGTTTGAAAAGCAGACTACTCCTTGGGTAAAGAGAAAGTAAAGCATTAAAATGTCAGATAACATTTATTCTGTATAGTTTTTCCCAAATTGCCTCAGGACTTTCAAATGATGTCAATGTGTGTTCAGTAAAAATAAACACATTGGCGCAGACATAGAGACATATGTACATGTCATAAAGAAAGATAACCCACTTTCAGTTTTTACTAAGAATTGACTGTCTCATGCAGACCAGCAGTCACCTGAAGCGGGAGTAAAGAGGAATAAGTTTATGGTGTTGAGCTTGACATGCCTGATGTAGTTGTTTTTTGGCTTTAAATTTTTTAATTTAAAACATTTTTAATTGTGGTTAAAAACACATACCATATATTTATCCACTTAACAATTTTTGTGTGTATTTTACAATATTGTCAACTATATGCCAATCATGTTACAGCAGATCTCAAGGACTTTTTCTCTTGCATGACACAACTCTATGCCCATTGAATAACAACTTCCTCTTTTCCTCTACCCCTAGCCTCTGGAAACCACCATTCTGTTCACCGTTAGTATGAGTTTGACTGCTTTAACAACCTCATATGAGCGAAATCAAGCAATAGTTGT